GACAAGATAGGCAAACCAAAGGCATATCCTGAAGCAGTTTGTCTTAGGAAAAGAGGGACATCCTTTGTTCTGTAATACTGGAAATAACCAGGCAATTGACACTTGAATCGACAGGTTTTACAGTTTTCAGGACTCCTTTTTGCAATGGATGATAGATGCTAGATTAATCCAATCAAATATGATCTTTCTAGGAGCTAAGGATACAAAGAGATGGCCACCAGCTCTGCTAAAAGTAAATGGGATGCTCCTCAAAAAAATTAAACAGAATTATCATATGCCCTAGCAACTCCACTTGTGAGTATATACCCAAAAGAAACAAAACTAGGGATTCAAACAGATAAATGTACAACCCATATTCAAAGCAGCATTATCCACAATAATCAAAGGTAGAAGCAACCCAAATGCTCATTGATGGATAAACAATGTGTATATATACAGTGACATTATTATTTAGCCTTAAAAAGGAACTAAATTCTTTTTAAAAATATTTTGTTTTAGTTGTAGTTGGACACCAATACCTTTATTTTATTTTTATGTGGTGCTGAGGATCTAACCCAGGGACCCACGCATGCTAGGCGAGCGCTCTACCACTGAGCTACAACCCCAGCTCAAAAAAGGAACTAAATTCTAAGAACAATTCTACAAACTGGGGCTGGAGATGTGGCTCAAGCAGTAGCACGCTCGCCTGGCATGCGTGCGGCCTGGGTTCGATCCTCAGCACCACATACAAAGATGTTGTGTCCGCCGAAAACTAAAAAATAAATATTAAAAATTCTCTCTCTCTCCTCCTCTCTTTAAAAAAAATTTCTACAAACTGAAATATGGGGGAACCCTGAAGACATTATGTTAAGTGAGATAAGTCAGTCACAAAATAACAAATATTCTATGATTCCACTTATATGCAGTATCTAAAGCAGGCAAAAATTCATAAAAACAAAGTAAAATAGTGGTTACTAGGGGTTGGGGGAAACTGAATAATAGGGAGTTATTATTTAATGGGTACAGAGTTTCAATCTGAGATGATAAAACCCAAATTGTTCAATATGCATAAGAGGATTTTCTCATACTCTCCATGATATGATAATGGCATATACATATGTTTACACATTTGTCCAAACATACAGAACATACAACACCAAGAGTATAATCTAAAGACTTGGAGTGATAATGACCTGTCAGTGTACGTGTACTACTGTGTTGGAGGATGCTGAGAGTGGAGGAGCTCATTGTGGGTAGCAGAGCAATGCAGGAGGCCATGGGAAATTTCTGTACTTTCCTCTCAATTTTACTGTTAGCCTCAGAGTGTTCCTTCTTTGTTTTGTTTTGTTTCTTTTTTCTTTTTTCTTTTTTCTTTTTCTTTTTTTTTTTTTGGTACCAGGGATTGAACCCAGGGATGTTTAACCACTGAGCCACATCCCAGCCCTTTTATTCATTCATCTAATTTATTTATTTATTTATTTATTTATTTTATTTATTTATCTAAATATTATCAAATATTTGAGACAGGGTCTTGCTAAGTTGCTTAGGGCCTCACTGAATTGCTAAGGCTGGTTTTGAACTCACAATCCTCCTGCCTCAGCATTCTGAGCTGCTGGGATTACAGGCGTGCACCACCAAGCCTGGCTGAAAAATAAAGTCTTAAAATAGTAAGATTGCATAACATTTTAAGTGTGCCACTGAAACACACACTTTAAAAACAGTTAAATTGGTAAATTTTGTTATATATTTATACACACACACACACACACACACACACACACACACACATACTGCCACGATTTTTAAAAGGTGCTGGGTAGTTTTCTTCCCCAACAGTGTCCACTTGTTCTTGCTTAGGTGCCTGTGACGTTCTTCAGCTCATTCAATCAATCCCAGACTGAACCACATATGACAGAACAAGGAGATGGAAAGATACAATCAAACTCAGCCTTGACTTGCTATGAGAACAGGAGATAAGAAGTGCTTAAGTGTCACTTCTATGACCCTTCAAAACACACCTGGGATGGCTCAATAGTTGCCCTCCCCTCCTTTTTCTAGAAAAACATTTTCTAAGGGTACCTTGGCAACGAGGAATACATTACCTCTTTGCTGTTCCACACAGTAACCACCTATGCCTATGAAACACTTAAAA